AAATGACCGGGACACCGTCACAACACGACCGGGACACCATCAAAACATGCCCGGGACACCATCACAACATGACCGGGACACCATCACAACATGACCGGGACACCTTCAAAACATGACCGGGACACCATCACAACATGACCGGGACACCATCAAAACATGACCGGGACACCATCAAAACAGGACCGGGACACCATCACAACATGACTGGGTCACAATCAGAACATGATCGGGACACCATCAAAACATGACCGGGACACCAGCATCACATGACCCGGACGCCATCAAAACATGACCGGGACACCATCCGCCCACCAGCTCTGACGGTGACCCGGCGGCGCCCGTCCGCCTATTAGTTTTGCAAGACCCCATAGCATGGCTATTGGGGAAAAAGAAAACATGCTAAGACTGCTATGCTCATACTTCAGATGTTCGCGCCCAATCCAACATTTTGACCAACGGTGGACTCCAGACCGCTCAGCACTACATCTACAATAATGCTTGTGATGTGTGCTTGATTAAGGCGGAGTTCGAATTGATTCTATCACGCAAAGTGGGGTGTAGGGGGAGAGGGGGCCTTTTCTAGTGATGCTGTATATCAATTCGATCCTTTGCAACTATCAATTCTGAGCCTACCCCAGCAGACCTCCTGCAGAGCTCGCTTTCGCGATTGAAAGAAAGAGAGAGAGAGAGAGACAGAGACAGAGACAGAGAGCTTCCACTATACACATGTTCATAGTGGTTTTACCTTGCATGTACACCACCATGTTGGGCCACTGACCTTCCTGTACATTTACGCCCTCTGTAATCTCTAGAATCTGACATGCGTGGACACATGGACACCGAAACATCATTCCTCAGAATGGCTTCACAAATAACCTTCACTCCGAAACTAACCCTCGGTGTTGTGCATTCATTGCCTTTCAAGTCTTGTATGTGAATTGAAATTGACTTTGTTTGTATTCGAAACTCCTTCTCTTCGACGTTGCACTTTGACCGTTCGTAATAAGAAAGAAAAGGTCAAGAGCTGTACCAGGATCCTCCATGCTGCTGGTAACAAAGCCTTCCTTCATAGTTCTGCGTCCCTTGTACAGGTGATGCACGCCTGAATGGTATATTATATATCATTGAAAGCCGTTCGTCCTACAAAACAGTGCTTCAAACAGTTTTAGCCAGGGCAACAAACTCGGGATGGTTGGGATGTTCAGCATCATGAACTACCAGGTTGCCTCTGTGTGTGTGTGTGTGTTTGACACAAAAGTTGGGTTTGTTGGGAATAATACATCCACGGTGGCCGATTGGAATGAAGGTTGGGACCCTTATCCTTGATGGGGCATAGCATGCGTAGTAGGCAGGCCTACAGACCCATCTCGCTCCTATCTTCTTCTGTTTCTTGACCTATGGCAGTTGAAGACCAAATGCGCAAGGTCCAGAAATCAGAAAGAGGCAAATAATGATTGCTCGACAACACATCACATTGCTTGCGCTTGGCGGAAACAGTGCATCACAAATGGCAGAGTGTGCCAACACGTCTTCTTTTCTGGACAATACAAACTGCAAAAGCTGTCTACGGATCGAATTGCCTTCAAATTTAGACTAGGCCACTTTCCTGGATCAAACATTTGGAGCTCATCACACAAAGGGTTCTTCTCTTCATGACTTTGAACCATGTGTGATCCAGTGGCTGTGCGCCTTCATGCCAACATCAGTATGCGAAAAACGCAACCCAAGGCCTGCTCTCCAATCGCTTTTGAAAGGTTAGGAGCCTAACTCAAGCCTTGTTTACAAGGGAAGGATTGCATGGCGGGGCTGCTGCAAGAAGATTTATGACATGGAGTGCCTGGTCTGACTTCAACTGAGGCCAAACGCACATCATCACAAAAGACTTTTTTGCGCTTGGCGAAATCTTGCCGTCACAACGCAATCAAATTGAAAGACACCAGAACAAGAGTTGGTTGTAGGCACAGCTATTTGCAAAACGCAAGAATTGTTGAAAGCCACCCGGACTTGAAGACCTGGTTCAACACTTAAGTAATGATGCAAAAACATATTATTGTTAAGAATAGCACTTCTGGCATCATGTAGATTTTGAAACGTTCAGTTAAGTGCATCTCTGGATGTTAGCTAGTGATTTATCATTGACTGCAAGGATGCACTGTATGTGTGGGTGAAGCAACGATGGATGTGTGGCTGCTACACAGTTCTACATCCAAGCAAAGTTGTCTTCTATATACATGTTTTTTGATTTTCTGCAAGTTTTGCAGTGCTTTCCTGGAAGAAGAACAGTGTTGCGCGTCCCTATTGAAAGCCGAAAGTACACAAGCAGTTACCAAAATACTTAATTTTGAGTAAGCATGTCGGATGATCAGTCTGCGTGTTAAACGGCTGACTGCACCTGTCTGAGGCGCATCATGTCTGAAAGGCGAAAGGATCACTCCCTCGTCATTGAGGGCAAATAGATAAAGCCGTCAAAGGCGGTCAAAGGCGTTTTGTCAAATTTTGACCAAATGATAGTGACACTGTGGCCACACTGCAGCCTTCAAGAGCTGCAAGGCAACCGAAGAGCCTTGAGTCTTGTGCCCCCAGAAGAGAAAACGGTTGAAGATCAGCCCACACTCGTTGAACTTGTTTCGGGCTGCCTTGACTTTTCTGACTGCACTGTTTCTCAAGCGCTCTATGGACATATTCGCCTGTTGTAGCCAGGCGTCATGTGAGCTAGTCCTGGTGTGCACTGCAGGTTGTATGCTCGCCAGAATGGATGTTGGAGGAAAAGTATCATCGACAATAGTCCTCAGCGGCTGCTTCAGCTTCTTCTTTCTTCTCTTCTTTTTTCTTCTTCTTTCCGTCCTCGCAACGAAAGCACTGGAGCGCAAAACGGGAGCAAGCGCCAGAAGCAATGGAAGCAGCGCAAAGCAACAGAATCCGAAACCAGCACACACACGTCCTTGGTCTTGCCTTTGCCTTCTGCCTTGCCTTTACCATCTGCCTTCCCTTTGCCCTCGCCCTTTCCTTTGCCTTCTTTGCCCTTGCCTTCTCCCTTATCCTTACCCCTTTCCTTCCCTTTCTCCTGAGCGAGACAAAGAGGTACGATAGGAGCAAAATAACGAGAAATAGGAAACTCCGTCCTTTCCCTTGCCTTTTCCCTTTGGTGCTGGAGATCCTAAGTGGCTTCAGTGCGGTGATCTTCTGAAGGTGTTCAGTCTGCAAACTGGGGCGGCAGCCTGTGGCAGATTGTAGATCTTGTGCCTGTGGCATGCCTGCCTGGCAATCATAATGCCCAACATCTTAAACAAAGAACTTACTGCAAAATATGAAAAACATATGTGTACAGTGTACTGTAATATTATATGGATCCATAGTGGCACCATACAGTGACAGCAATTGCATCGATTTCTTTCCTGCAGAGTTCTGTAATCACATCACTTTGCAGCTGCACAATATGCAGCGGAGTACCGTCTGACCTAAGGGAAATAATCACGGACAAAGGTGAGATACACCTTACTTAAGCATTAGGCTGGAAACGCAAGTGGAACCGCACTAGTAGACCGGCAGGACGAGGTTGTGTTTCTAGATGCCCACAAGTCTTTTGCGGATTCGGTGACCGAGTAGGGCAAAGCAAAACCCACCAACTAAGTGCGGCATGCGCAAGTGTATGGAAAGAATCATATGCAGGCTTACCGCCCCTCTAATTCACAAATATCCATATCCATATCCACCATGGTTCGCTTGAAACGTATCAAAGGTGTCTTTCTTGCAAGTTTGAGTTCATCCAAGCCGAAGCACAACCAAACATCAACCTGTCAGGCCATACCCAGTCCAGGAGCATTATCCCGATTCCACGAAAGACAAACACACCGTTCATGAATACTGTGAGAAAATACTCAAGACACCCCCTGAACCTATTTTGCAAGGACCGGTGCTGTTCCCGGTGGTTTTGCTTCTAACGACCTGCTTGCTTCTTTGGGTTTCGGAGACCAGCGTGGGGGTTGCAACACCATCCTGGGACCATCCATGGCCCTCAGCATGTGAAGCATGCGCCAAGGCTTTAATCACTAGAGAGATGCAGGAGTGAAGAGTCCTCAGAGTCCTCTCATCCTTCCTGTGTCTCAACGCTTGTCTTCACCACATGCCTCGTTCACAGTCACTGTCAGGGTCACCTCAGCAAGTCCCCTGTTTTGAGCGGTTCCTCTTATTTTTGCTATTAGGTTGGAGGCCATTGCTGTTAGGTTGGAGGCCATTGCTTCTAGGTTGGAGGCCATCACAATTAGGTTCTGTCATGCCTTGGCCACTCCGAGATTCATACCTCATCACCCACTTTGAAGCCATTTAGTTGAGCCTTGGCTTTCTGAACACGAAAGCAAGTGTTCAAGTCAAGTACATCATGGGGTCGTCGCCTTGTGAACAAAGAGATCTCGGCCAAATTGTTGCGTGACTCTTGGACACTCAATGAATCCATATCCTGAAAGTGCTGCATTGGGTGGAATAGTCTTTGAGGTCGAATGAGAGAAAATTATTCATGCCTTTATCATCGTAGAAGGACTTTATTCTTCCAAGTTCGCCTTAGAGTTGAATTCAGTTTGCAATTGACAAGTTGAATGTGCTCAAATCGCAGCTTGCAAATCATACCTGGGCCCATCCACGTGTAACATTTCCCGTCGCTGCGCCTTTGTGCTGCACCTGAACTGGAATGTAGGGGGGCCTCAGGTGAGCATGTGCTGAAATTGTTTGACAATTGACATTCCATGAACAGTTTTGAAACAAATTCGCAAATGGCTTCAGTCTGGCTACAAATGTGTTGACTGATCCCTTAGGCTCAAACATCATGGTCGGTTGTTGACCGAGTTGTGGATAGGGAAAGGGCAGCGGAAATGGAGGGTAGCCTGCGGGGCTGAAACTGCTTTTTCGAATCGATTCAAAAAATTGTTGACAAGCCTGCGGCTTGCATTGGTGGCAGCAAAGGATTGGAGGATGGAACGAATTCAGGAGCATCACCTCGAAGTGTTCCTGTCACCGCACCTGCAGGTATCATATCATTCTCAAACGCTTCCACGCCACTCATTGCGCCCTCACAGCTATATAGACATTAGCACTGCAGTCCTGCCTCCTTTCTTTTCAGGGGATGGCACTGACGCTGCGGCAGCGCTTGTCGCGCCTTCTTTGAAAGCCTGAAACAAAAGTGCAGGTGCAACTAGTAACTAGCAATGCTTTGGCTGTCCCTTTCACCTCTTTTACTTCCATGAATCAGACCTTCTTCTCATCCTTGTTGTACGCTCGGATGTACACACAGTCCGGGCTCAGTTGATAGCCTCAAAGACCCTTGAATGTTGAAACAACCTCTTCCAACTGATAAGTCTTAAGTGAAAGCGAAAACAATGATATCTCAAGTTCCCTTGACCTCTCACCAAACAATCAATTTGGCTTGTTGACGGAGCTTCTGCGCATTCGAGTCGACAATCACCTGCGATAGTTTCTACAAGTGCAAAAAAATGTCTCGGATTCTTGAAGCAAGGACATTTCATGAGACCTCGTGCCTTCATCAGAATCTCCCGAGTCATGTCCTTGAAGTAGTCAGATGCCAATACGTCGTTCACCTTCACCCAGCCATCTGCGCTGTCTGAGGTCAAGCCCACCTTAGCACAAACCACTAAAAAATCTTCCATTGCTTGCTGGCTTACCGCCACTGCCAGCTCAAACCTGGAGCTCGACAGCAAATCTGAGGCCATGACGCTCTTGTGCTTGATTCCATGCCGCAGAAGCCAGGAAAGCATCTTCGATATGACCACGGTCGGATCATCTGGCGAAAATGGTGAGATTCTCCAATTTATATAGAGTGAAAGCATGTGAAAGCTATGCACATCCCGCAGCAAAATGCATTGCATGCATTGCATAGGGGGATCGGCCTGGCTTGACAGCTTTGCCAGGAGGCTTGGCGGCCGTCTCCACCACCATCTCTGCAGGTCAACACTGGGGACCAGCTTGGGCAGAAACTACGATGGCAAACATTGGCAGCGCTCAAACAAACACATCACGAAAAGGTAAAGGGAAGCCTTGCAAGCATCCATTTTTCCACTAAGCAAAGAAAATCTGAAGCTTGTAGGCCTTGAAAACCCTAGATGACAGCTTGACAACTTAAAACTAAGGTCGGGCAACCATGTGTTTCCAAGGCCGCTTCAAACAGAGACACTGCATGGTAAAGGCCATGCGACATCTGAAAATATAAATCTGGCACAAGTTCTTGTTGTTTAAGGCGATTCAATGCAGATAGACTGACTTAAGGGCAGTTCATTAAAATAAAACAAAACGTGCCAACAAAAGAAAAAGTTGTGAAACTAGGTAGCTGCTGGCAGGTTCACGTCCCTGGAAATATATAAAAAGGATCACAGGACCGTTGGCACTGCAAAGTAGAGGTCCCTGAGGTTCTGACTTAGGCCCTTCATATGTGACAGGATTGTGGATGTCGAAGCGCGCGATGCCTACAGTAATGTTCCAAGGCTGGTGGGCGGAAGGCTGCAAGTCATGCCAAGCAATGTCAGGCCTTCAGGAATGTCATCCTGATATTTCTGGAAGGCCTCACCAGACCAATCGCATCAGACCAGAACAGTTCACCTACCCTTGTCTTTAGGCCTCCAGTGCCGCTTTCTTGTCTCCAGCTTTGATCGCCTTCTCAAAAGCCTTGACAGAGGCCTCGATGCAACAAGTCAACAAAACTTGAAGAAAGGGACAGCAAGAGCAATATTCTCAGCTTCAAAGAGGCCACGGCATTCAGCCTGTAAGTGTTCTTGTCGGGAGCCGCTCCCCGCGACTGCAATCCCTGGCAAGCATGAAGACAAAGCCTAGAAAAGAAATAGAGAAAGAAACATGCTGGTGCTGCAGCATAGGCTTCCATCTTTCGGCACATCTTCGGCAAGAACAGCATCATCCTGGCTCAATGCACTGCCCAAACTCCGCACAATCAGGCCAGCCAAACCGAACCTTTCATCAATTTCGTGCGTCTCCAAGTAGTCGATGCCCTGAAGTGCTGGGTATCACAAACAACATCCTGTCCAGTGTCTACGCATCCCCACCTGCTTCATGTAGGGAACGAGCTCTCTTTTGCGCCTCGAACCAGTAAACTAAGACCCAGTTACGAAGGCGGCCCTTTGATGTCCATGTCAACATCTGCCAACCCCTTGTGCCAGGAACAGCACACGAAAAGGACAAAACGTGCTTTTGCCATGTGTTGCGTTCTTTCAGAACATCTTTACCTCCTGTCAGCTTATGAGGTACGACCTCCCATGAATTAATGGCTCAAGTTTAATGAGATCCAGGCCAAAGTGGAAGGGCTGTGAAAGTGGGCAAGAGCTCTGGAGCAAGGGTGGAGCAACAGCTGTAATCAAAGACGCCATAGGAGCGGGAGTCACAAGGGTATGGAAAGATCATTGAGCAGTTATCACAAGATGCCTTGTTGGCAATGATGGGATGGATGGGCAATGGAGAAGGAACTGGTCATGAAGAAAGGAAAATAATTCTAGACAAAAGTAGCCAAAAGCAGAGTTAGTTTCCCAGCGGAAAGCTGCCAAAGCTTGAAAGGAAAGAGAACTCAACAGGGGCTTCCAAAGAAAACCTCTACTAGCAGGGGGTGAAACCACAAAAGTAGCAAAAAGCAGGATTTCTACAGCCTGAAAATTGGCCAGACTGGGCCAGAAGTATATAAGTAGCCATCTCCAGAGAGAAGTAGTGTCTTTCTACTAGTAGTACCAAGAAGCTACTAGTATCAAAGGGCATCGCTACTAGGAGCAAGGACGCTACTGGTAGCTCCTGGCACTACTACTAGTAACCAAAAGCTACTAGTAACAAAGGGCATCGCTACTAGGAGGAAGGACGCTACTAGTAGCTCCTGGCATTACTACTAGTAACAAGAAGCTACTAGCAACAAAGGGTGTCGCTACTAGCAGCAAGGACGCTACTAGTAGCCCTGGCATTCCGACTAGTAACAAGAAGCTACTAGTAACAAAGGGCATTGTTACTAAGAGCAAGGACGCAACTAGTAGCTCCTGGCATTACTACTACTAACAAGAAGCTACTAGTAACAAAGGGCATCGCTGCTAGGAGCAAGGACGCTACTAGTAGCTCCTTGCATTACTACTAGTAGAAAAAGCTACTAGTAACAAAGGGCATCGCTACTAGGAGCAAGGACGCTACTAGTCGCTCTTCGCATAGAAGTAACAAGAAGCTGCTACTAGTAACAAAGGGCATCGCTACTAGGAGCAAGGAGGCTACTGGTAGCTCCTGGCATTGCTACTAGTAACAAGAAGCTACTAGTACCAAAGTGCATCGCTACTAGGAGCAAGGACGCTAC